GTTGTAGGTAAGACCAGGGCTGGCTCCAGGCACCAGCTGAGCAAGCTGGTGCGTTGGGGCGGCAGATTGTTGGAGGCGGCATTCTGCCCAATCCTAGGGCGGCACGGCCTACCTTTTTTTTGTTTTTTGTTTTTTTTGTTTGTTCTTGTTCCGCTCCGGCCGCCCTGTAGGGGGCGGCGGCACGGAGAACCAGAGTGCCCTGCAGGGCAGTCCTCTTCCTTCCCTCCCCGCCGACCGGAGTGGAGCCCTCGCGGCAGGAGGCAGCGCAGCGTGAGGCCGCGTGGCAGTGCCCCTGCTGTAGCCCTGGCCGCCCCCTTCTCTCTCTCTCCCACCCGCTCCCTCCCCCTCTCCCCCAGCCGGTCCCCCTGCACCCGCGCTCTAGCCACGCCGCAGGTTTTTGGGGGTTTTTTTGCTTGGGGTGGCCAAAAAGCCAGAGCTGGCCCTGGGCTCTGCATCAATCACACCCCCATATCCCACCACCTAGATACTTAAGAAATGCAGAGGGAAAATTGAGGCACTCACACAGTATTCAGAGAAAACATTAAGAATATTCCCACTTCGTCACAGCAGGTGTAAATGAACCCTGTAGTTAGTAAGAAGTGGAAGGAGGAAGTACAAATACTAACTGTGAACACCAACGGCCCAGAGAAAGAGTGAGGATAGCTCTGTTTCTTGTGATCTGCTGCTATTTTTCCTGTGCTGAAGTAGAGTAAGAATATTTATACTGTATTATCACAGTGTTTTGCACTTTCAGAGTGTCAGTGTGACCCACACTCCTTGTACTGCAGCATTTGACTTTATTTCTCTGACAGGAAGCGAAAGATGCAGTGGGAAGGGGACATAGATTTTAACTGGATACTCTGGGCCTCTGTTACATTATGGGCAACCCAGCTGGCAGGTCACACCCTAGTCACCCTCTGAGGGCAGAGCTAGAGTGCGGGGGGGGGGAGGAGGTTATAAATACAGGAGTTAAAGGGCTTTTATACACTTGAAAGGCTACAACGGCACAGCTGCAGCGCTGCAGCTGCACCTCTGTAGCCCTTTAGTGTAGACCCTACCTATGCCGACCGGAGGGGTTCTCCCTTTGCTTAAGTTGATCCACCTACCCGAGAGGGGTAGCTAGCTTGACAGAAGAATTGAAAACAGCCCTGTGGACTCGGTGGCTGATAGATGCAGCACTGAGAGATGTGTCTGCTGTGAGGGCTGGTCCCAACCCCGTACCACCGTGGATACAGGGCAGTGCTATGCCAGCTTTATTTTCTAGGGCAGCCCTCCATTGGGATAATGTTTGGTGCACCATGGTGTGTTCTATGGACCTATAGAGAGAGTTGGGGGCAGTATTTGTTACTGTGGAGACCAGAGAGCCTATGGAATTTACATTTAGCAATCAGCTGACTGCTCTAAACTGGGATTCTGTCTCAGTTAAAGAGAGAGAATGGGGCAGCACTTAGTGAGGTGAGGATTTGTGAATTCTTGCCTGACTTAGCTGAGTTTATGGGAAGAAGACTGTGCTCTATGGAGTGAGAGCCTTACAGAGATCCAGGGAACAGATATTGTAGAGGCTGCTTCCAATCCTGGTACCACTTTGAATACAGGCTACAGATTTCTGTTTCACCAGCAGCTGAGAGACCCAGTCAACTCTTAACCCAAGCCTAGGGCAGGAGCACTGCTAGCTGCCGAGATCCCCAGGCTGTTTCGTTGCTCACCGAGTTCCAAAGTGTTTGAAACAACTGAGGTACTGCCATTTCTCAAGCTCTGAAGACACACTACATGTTACAACCAGACTGCAAAGACTGAGAAATCATCTCTAAGAGAAGATCAGTGGGGAATGTGTTTTGATGTGTGTGCTGAAGTATAGAACATGGTAAGTTGTAACAGAAACAAAAGGGGGACATGCTCTATAAGGAGAAGCCATAGATTTACTGATTAATTTTTTTAAATGTTATTCATAGTCATTACAATGTTTTCTCTGTGCATTAAATGTTTGTTTTATTAAGGCCATGTCTACACTCTGGGCGCTATGGTGACACAGAACACCACTGCAGCTACGCTGCTGTAGTGTAGATGTTTCTGGCTTTGATTACACTGGCGCTTTACAGCGCTGTACTCGCTGCGCTCAGGGTGGTGAAAAAACACCCCCCTGAGCGCAGTGAGTACAGCGCTGTAAAGCGCCAGTGTAATCAGAGCGTGCAGCGCTGCACGCTTGCTTGCAGTGCTGCAAGCTACTCCCCTCGGAGAGGTGGAGTACATACAGCACTGCGAGAGCTCTCTCGCAGTGCTGGCGGTGCGACTACCCTTGCACTTTGCGGCAGCGCTGTGAAGTCCCGAGTGTAGCCAAGCCCTCCTTCAGTGACAGAAGCGGGTTGACTATTGCTGTAGGTAATTCACCTTTCCGAGTGGTGGTAGCTAGATCAATGGAAGAATTCTTCTATTGTTGTCTACGCTGGGGGTGAGGTTGGCATAGTTATGTCACTCAGGGATGTGAATCCTATTGATCTCATTGATGAAGGCTCCTAAATGCCTAAATCCTTACTGAAAATGAAACGTAGGCTCTTAAACCAGTTAGTCACTCCCATGCTGAATGGAGCAACAGTGAAACAGCTGAAAAACCTGGCCTAAGCCACTATGGATAGCCATCAGATAACTTGCCATCTCTCAGCTATGGCAGTTCTCTGGTGTGGCATGGGGAAGCCTTTGAAGATCTTTGGAGAAGCCTGCAGGAAAAAGGACCCTGCAGTATTTGTGTTGCATTGTAGAGGAGGATCTTCATCAAAGCAACAGCTGCTCTCACTAAGCGCAGGATCTTTGTGAAAGTTCCCAGCTGGCTCAGGAGCCAAGATCTGGTACCAGCTGAACACTTTCCTGAAAACTGGGATCTTTCGCAAAGCAATGACTATTTCTATGAAGAGTTGTGGGGTATTAATGATCTACAAACATACACACACACACTGAGCAAACTGCAGGTGAGGGCTGCAGCCCACCAGCACACAACCCAGGATGAGCAACGGGGGAAGAATTTTGGCCAGGAACACCAGGGCAAACACCTACTTTTCCAGAGTGAAATGGGATTGTAATGGCCCCACAGCTTGGATGAGATCTCTGCGTATAGGTTGCTTCTGCAACACCAGCTTCAATCTGATGAAGGGCTGAGTCAGCCGTGCTGGGACTGAGGGAATCTGTGAATCAGAAACCCCAGGTTTATAGCACAGAGCCATTCTCTCCGGTTAACTCTGTCATAGTGCTAGGATCCACCTTGCCACCCCTCTCTGCACCCGGAGGAGTCTCTGATCTGGGGAACTTAAACAAAGAGCAACATACCGACACCCCTACTTACCTTGAGTACTGTAGTCAATGGGACTACTCGTGAAGATCTTAATCTGGGCAGTACACTGCACTGTAACTAACATATACACGTCTGTATTAAACTTACCTGAGCAAATAACCCTGGCCGTGTCTCGGCGGGAGCAGGCTGGGTTGCCCAGGGCCATGCGAGAACAATCCCACAGGCAGGTTTCAGTCCCTTCACAATGAAAAGTGTCACTCCATATGGTTCCGCTCCCGTCCCCGAAATGGGCTCCTCCCTGGATCGACTCGGCGTAGCCACAGTTCAGCTGATGGCAGAGGACGTTGGCATCTTGCAAATCCCAGTGGGAGGCACAGAGGCTTCCCCATGTGTCTCCATGTCGGATCTCCACTCTCCCGGAGCACTCGGTGCCGTCCACTAACCTGCCGCCCGGGCACCCTGAGCATGAGGGAAAGTGAGTGTCGAGGTGGCACAGTGATCAGAGTTAATGGCAACGACAGGGAGGGGAGTGGGGAACAGGAAGGAATTTTTGCTCATGTTCAATGCTAGCAGTTACTCTGTGGGGGCTGTGGGGCTATTCCACACCAGCACATTCACAAACTGATCCTCGATCCACGTCAGTTAGTGCAAAGGGAGGACAAGGGACCAGAATTTGGTTTCCTTGGTACATTCCATACTCAAGGCACCACAAGCATTTCACAGAGGGATCAGTTCCAGCAGACGTGGCTGGTGCAGGGACAAGGCGCCAATTTATGGGCCAGGTCCCCACCTGGTGTAAATCAGCATAGCCTCACTGAGCCCAGTGGCGCTTGGCCGATTGACACACTGTGAAGATCTGGCTGAGGATGTTCCCCAATCCCCAGTTCTTTTCTTTCCCACTGCAGCTGCTCACCTGAACACACAACGTTGGCTTCGCTCCCAGGGGGACACTCAGTTGTGCCCAGCGCAGTAACAGGACAGTCCCTCAGGCGGGATTCGTTCCTCTCACAGCCAAATGTGCCATTCCAGACAGGCCCATCTCCTGTGCCAAAGAGCTGCTCTGCTGGAATCAACAGGGCGAATCCACAGTCAAACTGCTGGCAGAGGCTGTGGGCAGCCTGTAAATCCCACTGGGAGTCACAGAGGGTTCCCCAGGTACCTCCATGGCGAAGCTCCACTCTCCCCGAACACCCTGTGCTGCCGTTTGCCAGCCTGTACCCGGAGTACCCTGAGAACAAGGAGAAGGGAGATCAGAGGGATATTTCTCTTGCACAATTGTCTTCAGAGATGTGACAAAGTATTAATAATTATTTCCCAGTTTACTGGGCACTTTGTGAATCAGGACGTTCAGACATGATAATCAGGTTCCTACAGTGCAGGTGTTATTGCCCATGTCTGCCCTTTGTGAGGGGTCACACAGCACCCACCAAACTCCACTCCAGCATGTACCGCTCTGGGCTCAGGGTCACGCCTGGGATAGTCTTGGGCTGGGCCCAGTCTCTGTTTTGGTGGTTCCAAAGTGCTGGTCAGGAATCAGGAGCAGCTGTCCCCAGGATCTCACACAAATGTCATGTGAAGAAACTGGGGTTCTCATGGGTGCTGAGTCCTAGGTTATTGGAAGCTTTCTGAATCAGAACAGTTGAACTCAGGGGTCTGACTGGGGACAAAATACACAGTGGTGATATTATAGCACAGTGACAGCTCTGCAACAGTTAAGGTTGAGACCAGCTTTCCTTCAAAGCTAAATTTTTCTAAGTGCTCTAATGTCTGCCTGATTGATCGGATTGGATTGAAATACGGTATTTCACATAGGAGCACAGGGTTGTATTAGTAATCAAAATTTGGGGCCATTTCACCAAGGGGTTTCCAATATACAGCTCTCGGGGGGGGAAAAACAACAGCTTATCTTAAAGTTGACAGATTCTGGCATTCTATTTTTGCTCACAGATAGAGATCAAACCAAGGCTCAGATCATTGCACCAGGGTCTCAGACACTCGAGGGTTACCCCCAACAGAGTACATGGCCTCCACCAGCCCTTGGGGGAAATCAAATTAAAATGTTATTTCAAAAAGCACCTGCTTCTCCAGTTAGGTGCTTGCGAAAGCTTGTGCGCCTACACACATGCCTAATGGACTACACTGAGCATGTGCAGTGAGAGAGGATAGCTATCTGGAAACTTACCAATCCACTATGAGATGTGGGTGGCTTTGAGGGTAAATTGTGGTCCTTACAGCTAGGCACCCCCACCCCTGGCACTGTGAGTGCAACTCCAGCCCAGAAAAAAAAAACGATGTTAAAAAAGCAGGTTTATTGTTCCAATTTGTCTCTTTCATGGGGGGATTTTGTTTGGTGTAAATATAATCTGAGTGCAGCAAAATATTCAGAATGTGCTGAAACAGCTTTTGAAAAGAAAACTATTCCCAAATGTGAATGCTGACTGGGAGGGGGAGGGATGATCAGGTGTGCAAGAGTAGATGGTAACAGGGGGAAATGTTTGGGTTTGCAGCCAGGGATGTGTTTATTATGGGGAGGGAGACAAAGGGGAATGGCTGGTAGGGGAGAGAGGAAGTTGTGGGCGGGCTCAGGCAAGGGAGTGAGTGAGGATTGGGGCGGAGGAGACAGGAGGGGTTGCAAACTAGGAAGGGTAGCACAAAAAGTTGGGGGGTTGAGGTAAGGCACATCAGCCATGAATTCTCCCCTTCCGTGTGTGCTGCAATCTAGGCGAGCCCTACCGCTTTGCAGGCCCCGGTAGCAACTACGCAACCACCATTATCCCCATTGCATTGTAACAAAATGTACAGGACGGGGAGGAGCACTGAGGAATCCCATAGCGACCTTGTGCCCTAGTGGAAAAAGCACTGGACTGGGACTATCCCCAGCTCTGCCACTGGTTGACCTTGGGTAAGTCTGAGGTTCTGAGCCCCAGAAGGTGGTGAGAGGCAGATCAGCTGAAAGTCTCTAGGGAAAGATCAAAGCTGGGAAAAGTAGAGGTCATGTAATGGTAGGTGTCTAAAATAGTTCACCAAATCAGGAGAAGGAGTGGATGAGGCATTTCTACAACAAACAGAAATATTTAAAACACAAGACCTGGCAGTAACAGGGGAGTTTATCTACCCAGACATCTGTTGGAAAAGTAATAAGGCAAAACACTAAATGTTCAATCAGTTCTTGGAAAGTGTTGGGGAAAACCTTTTGTTCCATACAAGTAGAGGAAGTAAACCAGGGGGATCGACATTTCAGACTAGATTCTGACCAAGAGGGAGGAATTGTTAGTGAATCTGAAGGTGGAAAACAACTTGGGTGAAAGTGACCATGAAACGATAGCTTTCATGATTCTAAGGAAAGGAAGGCATGATGAGGATGAGCACAAAACCACAGCACCAGTATGTAGGGACTAAATCAGAGAGGCTAAAGCACAATATGAGTTACACCCAGCAAGGGACATAAAAGACAATAAGAAGAAGTTCTCTAAATACATTAGGGAGTAAGAGAAAGATGAAGTAAATACAGGTCCTCTACTTAGTGCAAAGAAGAGCTAATAAGGTATTATATCAAGAAGGATAAGGTGTTTAGTGACTATTTTGCTTTAGTCTTTACTGAAAAGCTTAATGGTGAGTAGATACCGAATACAATTAATATTAGCAATGAGGGGGAAGGAATGCAAGCCTCATAGAAATTATTAAGTCTACTGTCCCCAAAGATACAGTACACACACACACACTAGCCTGTTAGCCTGCAGCCCCTGTATTTGACATTCCTGCATGTACCACATAATTTGACAGCACAGGAGTCAGTCATGTTGTATGTTCAACCACTGCCAGCTGAAACCAAAACATCACATAGCTAAAAATAGTTTTATGACCCTGAGAGGCAAGGTCAAATAGCTTCATGCTTGCAGTTTTTCTAATCAAAATGGAAGAATAAAATAAAAAATAAATGTACTGTAAAATAGAAAAAATGTTTGGACAACCGACCTTGGTTTTAGGTGCCTCTAACATGTAAGTTTTATTACTATAACTAGAAATACTTTGCAAATAAAAAATAATGAATTGTTATTGGTTGTTGCTGCGGAAATTATTAGCCAATTAGAAGTTATTATGAGTTGTGTTCTTTATCCAAAGAAAATATATAAAAATTTTATTTAGAAAGTGTGGAGCAGTCCGAGAAAGTTTTTCTTTTGGCAAGGATTTGACATCAGTAGTCAGATGGAAGGAGGGGGGCCCCGCTAGCCTCGCTATTAATTTCTTGAGACAATTTCAGACCTTTTTAGGTAACTATAAATATTTGGAATGCTCTGAACCCTACTACTACAGCATACGTGTGTGTGTGTGCGTGCACACGCTTGAAACCTAATAAAAAGTAGTTTTAAGTGAAGCACACTGGTTTGTAACAAACATTTATCAGACAGAGGAGTTATGGCCACATTCATTTTTTCTTGAAGAAAACCAGTTAAGTTACCACTGATTTGGGTTCTAAAACCCCTCAGTAACAAACCCAGCTGAGGACACACTCTTTACCTTAACACGCAGCATTGAGCTAATTTATGGTAAAACCAAGAATAAGTTTATTAATAAAGAACATAGATTTAAATGATTCTAAGCAAAGATAACAGAAGCAGAAATGCTTACAAACATAACAAAATACAACAACTTTCCAGTGTCTAAGACTTTACTTTAGCAAACTATGATCTTTGCCGCAACAGCTTTCTCACTTCAAGCTACCAGCATTTCCAAGCCTTCCGGCAGGAGGGTCCAACATTCACAGAATTAGAGGGTGCTGTCCCCTTTGCCCCCTAAATGATAGGTAACTAAGAAGTTCTATCCCCTTCTTTGTATACTTTAGTAAACATTTGAAATGTGTTAGTCTGAAGTGCATCCCCAGATACATTTATTCTCCTTTGCTATTTGACTCTTACTGGTGACTTCCCATCCCCCTCTTGGCTCATATGTAACATAATTGCTACTGTCTCTGGCAACAGCTTGCTCAGTTTACATTGGAGACATGGACAAACTGGCAAAACAACATATTTTTGTCTGGGACAAACTTGTTTATCAAGTCTGTCCCCAAAACATATTTTAGGAACATACACATACATAACTCTACTCGCCATCTCTATATACCTCACCCAACGATATCCATAACCAGCATGTCTCCAGTTTTTATATGATATCTTACCCAACACACTGTTATAATACAATAATACTGTATACAAACAGTTGTTTCAACTGCTTGTTCTTTGGGTTTCAGGCCTCCTGTTCTCCCGTTGGGGTGTCTGGACCCTGATTTTCACACAAAGATACTTAAGGATCTAGCTGAAGCACTGGTGGAACTGTTAGCAATTATCTTTAAGAACTCATCAAGGACAAGTGAAGTCCCAGAGGACTGGAGAAGGGCAAGTACCTATCTATAAAGACTGGAATAAAGAGGACCCTGTCAGCTTAACTTCAGTACACAAAAGATACTGGAACAAATTATTAAACAATCAATTTATAAGCACCTACAGTATAATGGGATTATAAGGAAGAGCCAGCATGGATTTGTCAAAAACACATCATGCCATACCAACCTAATTTCCTTCTTTGACAGGGTTACTGTCCTCATGGATAGGCTGAAGTAGTAGACGTGATATACCTTGATTTTAGTTAGGCTTATGATATAGTTGCACTCAACATTCTCATAAACAAATTAGAGAAATGAGACCTAGATGAAATTACTATAAGGTGGGTGCACAGCTGGTTGAAAAAACATACTCAAACAGTAGTCATCAGTGGTTTGCTGTCAAACTGGGAATGTGTATTTAGTGGGCTGCCATGGGGTCAGTCCTAGGTATGGTACTATTCAATATTTTCATTAATGACTTGGATAATGGAATGGAGAATATGCTTATAAAATTTGCAGGTGACCCAAGCTGGGAGAGATCGACACTTGGAGGACAGGATTAGAATTCAATATGACCTTGACAAGCTGCAGAGCAGATTTGAAAACAAGATGAAATTCAATAAAGAAAAGTGCAAAGTACTACACCTAGGAAGGAAAATTCAAATGCACAACTTCAAAAGGGAGAATAACTGGACTAGGTCGTAGTACTGCTGAAAAAGATCTGGGGTAACAGTAGATCACAAACTGAATATGATGGTGTGTATTAACAGGAGTGTCACATGTAAGACAAAAGAGGTAACTGTCCTGCTCTAGGGGGCACTGGTGAGGCCTCAGCTGGAGTACTGTGT